AATTAGTACTTATGCCTACGCTCCCTATGTAGTATATAGTCTGCTCGTACGGCTTCACAAATCAAACAGAGTTCACGTCAATTTGCAACCTAAGTGTTATGAGCCCGGATACTTATCAGGATCTGCCTTCCTCCCTGCCCTGTCGTCGTCGTTATCGTTTTGAACCTCTCTGGTGTTGAGTCAGCTACAACGCCACAAAACGCCACACGACTTCAGCCTGTGTTCTCTCGCCAACATGCCATCCTCCGTCTCTTCCGACCGGATTATTCTATCCTCCCCTGCCGACTGGAAGCACTGGTTCCTTACTGTGCAGACCAAAGCCAAATCCGAGGATATTTGGGACTATTGCAACCCCTCCAAGCCTACCACCGATCCTACTACCCAGCTTAACAAGCCTGGCTGGCCTGCCGTACCGGCAGCGGCCAACGCCACCGACACCTGGACACCTGCAGCCCAATTAAGCTGGAAACAAGACCAGGAGGATGCTCGCATCAAGCTAGCCAGCTACAGCTCCAAACAAGAGGCCCTTAACAAGCTCCGTGTTCATATCGTTGAAACAGTAGCCACACGTTATATTCCTCTTATCAGCCAATCAGAATCAGCACACGATATGCTGATTGCCCTCAAGAATCAGGTTGCTCCATCCGACCATGTACGCCGCTACGAGCTACAAACACTATGGCAGCGGCAACGGGCATTTCCACAAGATTCAAGCATTGAACAATGGCTCCAGGATTGGAATGTGCTCTATGTAGAGTGCAAAGAGCTACAGCTACCTGAAGCAACCGAGACCAGGGCACAGCACGACTTCCTATTGTCAATTCAGTCAAAGAATCCAGAGTTTTCCACATACTGGCAGAACAAGATCTATAACCGCACCACCCGAGCTAAGGCTGCCCCTACGCTGCAGGAACTAGTTGATCTATTCCGTGACCAGCGGCGGAGGGCTCTAGCTATTGAAGGCACAGTTACCAGCCACTCTGCATTCGCAACAACCCTCAATGGTGTAGAGTTGAACCCACCAGCTACGCCGGCAGCCACGCCGGCAGCCACGCCGGCAACCACACAGGCCTCCACAGCCAGCAGGCTAAATAGCTACAAACAGCTTCCAAAATGCATCTGCGGAGACCGGCATTACTATTCAGACTGCCCGTACATCTGTGCAAACAAGCGACCAGATGGATGGGAAAGCGACCCAGCTATAGAAGCCAAGCTTCACAACAACGTTCAAAACTGCAAAGAACACCAGCAAACGGTTATTCGTGCACTACAACAAGTATCTGCATCTAAGGGGCCTATAGATGGGACAGTTTCAGTATTCTAATGGCCAGCGGCCCCCCTCAACAGCGGCCCCCCTCAACAGCGGCCCCCCTCAACAGCCTCGCCAGTGGCCTCCTCAGCGGCCTCACCAGCGGCTACCTCCCTACACAACCTCTCATTCGACAGCCTCGTCAGCGGCCTACATGGCCTCGTCAGCGGCTCCCTCAACAGCCTCGTCAGCGGCCTGCATGGCCTCGTCAGCGGCTCCCTATTCCGCTTCCTCTACAACCTGGCCTACGGCCTCGCCAGCAACCACACCACCGTGTTTCGGCGAATTTCCTATGTATTCCTGCTTTTCTACAACCTCACCTCTCTTCCGAAGTTGGGGGGTGACTCAGGGTTTCCGGCCTACGTGCCTAGCCAATTACAACTTCTACAGAGAGGGGTTGGGGTACGGTGGCCTACCCTGCCTACCGCTGCCTACTGC